CCCCCCCCCCGCGCCCCGGCCGCTTTCCTCCCGGTGCCCCTGGTCTGCTGGGGACCGTCTCCAGCAGACCAGGGATACCTGGAGGAAAGCCGGGGAAGCGGAGGGTCCCGTGCCTCCCCGGCTTTGCCAGAGCAAAGCCTCAGAGGCGCGGCACCCTGCCGCCGCTGCGGCTTTGCTCCCCGTGTCCCTGGTCTGCTGGGGGGTGGGGGGCACAGCTAGTGCGCCCCCCCCCCCAGCAGACCAGGCTTTTGTTGTGGACCCTGGGGTAGAGCAGCTGGGGTGCTGCTGGGTTGGTCCTGCAGGGACCTACCTGGTAGCCTAGCTGTTCTGTCCCAGGCTCGAGATTCAGCTGCTGTTGAAACTGATCAGTGGCTGATTCCAGGAAGCTGGGTGCAGAGCAATTCTGCCTCTAGCTTCCTGTAGTCAGCCTCTGGTCAGTTTCAGCAGCAGTGGCTGAATCTGGAGCCAGTTCCGACTTACATACTAATTCAACTTCAGAACAAACCTATAGTCCCTACCTTTACGTAACCCGCGGACTGCCTGTACATTTTATTATTATTTTTGCCTTGCTCTTCTATATCTAATATGACAGTTTTCAATTCAGAAAGAAATCTAATCAAATCACAATGCTTTTTTGGTTTTGTTTATACAAATTTTGAAAAGGAATGAAAATAAGGAACTTTTGTTTTAGATTTATATTGACGTAGCTGGTTTTATTTCCTTTTGTGCTTTCCCTTATTCCCTTTACTTTCATTTTACAGTTACATACACCTATTTTTCAAATCCATACATTCAGAATTGAAACTATCCTCCTGCAATACCCATTTCAGACCTTCTGAATCAATCTGCTTCTTTCAGTTTTTTTCTTTGATTTTTTGTGGGTGCTGATGGAAGTACATGAGATACAATCTTTATGAAAATTTACTACAGTAATCTATCTAATGTTTAATAGTACACTGCATTTTGACATTTCATTCATACTTGCATCTTGGTAACTGACATCATAATTGGACATCAATATCTTTACTTCATTTCTTGCTGGCAACTATAAAGTAGTACAGTTTTTCATAGTCTGGCAACAGTCTTTTCCACAGTGCCATGTCTATTACTGAGTGACTCCTGGATATTTAAGATTAAATTTCTCATTCTACATAACAGAACATTTGTTTTCTTATTCTCAGATTTATATTTGTGACCTGTCTATTTGATGATTTGCTAGTACGGATGCATGAGTGTATAGGCAGTCCCCAGGTTACGCAGATCTGACTTACGTCGGATCCGTACTTACGAATGGGGATTTTCTCGCCCCGGAGGACGCGGGCGGTGGGACTGCTCAGAAGCACCGCGGTTCCGCCGCCCGCGTCCTCTGGGGCGAGAAAAGCTGCTCCGCGTCTCCCTGGTCTGCTGGGGAGGGGACCCCCAGCAGACCAAGGAGACGCGGAGCAAAGCTGCTGAGGACGGGGGCGGTGGGACTGCCCAGACACGCCGCGGTCCCGCGGCCCGCGTCCTCCGTGGCTTTGCTCCGTGTCTCCCTGGTCTGCTGGGGGGGGGCCCAGATGCGCCACGGTCCCGCCGCCCGGGTCCTCCACGGCTTTGCTCCGCGTCTCCCTGGTCTGCTGGGGGGGCCCCAGCAGACCAGGGAGACACGGAGCAAAG